GCGGATTCCGTCAACTGGAGAGCTGTAGCTCTCGTGTACTTAATTAAATACTCTTCTGTTGAAGTGGAATTTTTTTATCCATCATTTAGGGAAAACAGCAAATTTATACAAAGCATTGTTTGAAATTGGGTGACAGTTTTCCCTAATCACATTGAAATGTACTTTTTTACAGACGTCACAAATGAAATTTAAAAAGACATATTCGTAGCATTGATGATGGGAAGTAGCAAGAAAAATAGCAAAATTATGCAAAACAGTAAAGACGTTTCAGTAATTTCTTATTTCGTGAAAATCTGGAATGATTTTTATGACTGCAGTTTCTAAAAGCAATTACCAGTTAGCTATTAAAATTCATTTTCCTTAAGTAATAAATGCGATATTACCATTAACAGCACGCCGATATTATGTTTTACTTGAAAATTCCATGATATTTGAAATAGTAAAATGTCCAATATTAGTGTTAACTGATGGGAAAAGAGACCTTTCGCAGCAACCTTGTTCGTGTTTCAGAATTTAAAAAATTTTAAGAAAGAAGAAGACACTGGAAAACTGTAAAGTCAACAGATTAAAAATTTTCCTCTCCCGTCTAACCTCTATCTGTTAACAATTGGGAATGGGAAATTTTGTTATTGTTCTTTGTCTGCATCCGTCTGGCAACAGATGAAAGTCAGGTCACGTGATCTTGACCTATATGAGCCATTGTTCGTACTCTTAGCATGAATACTATCTGCAAAATCAATTTGTCGCTCCAGAGCACATTCAAATGATGGGTTTAGTAGTTTCTAGAATACAGCTCATAATTGTTCAATTTATCAAGCCTGAAATTATTACAAAACTCTTCCATATTTGAGATAATCTAATATGGTAAAACTCAAGATGTCTGGATTAAATGCGACCACAATCCTTCCAACCGACCCTTGTTTACAAAGCATGAAGTTCAAGGTAACAAGAAGACCGCTCTATTTTTTTTTTTTTTTTTTTTTTTTTTTTTTTTTTCAACATTGTAGGTGCCACTGAGTCAAATTATATTTTATCAGAAGTGCGTTTGATTTAAAGTAGTTCACGAAATAACTTAATTCAATACATTTCATTCAAAAGTACTCGAATAAAAATGTGTATGTCACTTTTTTTATTATTTTTTCAATGCTTTGTGTTCATGGTTTATTAAAAACTAAAATACTTTTAGATAATTAATTTGCATATAGTGAATTTAATATTTTATTCCTGCTTCTAATATTATGCTTTTAAAAGCTAGAGCTGAAAAAATACGTGTATTTGTACATATTTCAAGTGCTTTAAGAGGATGGAAGCCACTTTGAAAGCTAAGTCTGTGTGTTAAAAACACCCGGATAATTTTATTGTCTTTCTTTACAGAACACTTATGCGCTTAATAGAATACAGGTAACTGAGAAAATTTTATTTTCTCAGTTATTTATTTAAAATTTATCTAGAAAATTTTATTTTCTCAGTTATTTATTTATTTATTCAAAATTTATCTAGAAAAATTTATTTCTCAGTTATTTATTTATTTATCAAAATTTATGTAGAAAATTTTATTTTCTCAGTTATTTATTTATTTATTTAAAATTTATCTAGAAAATTTTATTTTCTCATATATCTTGCATAGAGCAATTTTTCATGCTCTACAGTGAGAAACTTGTGTGTTTCTCGTAATAAATCAATACGAAAGTTTTAAATATGAGTGGAAATATCAGTGCGAAATGTTCATATATACACAAGAGTTGTACTATATACGTTTTCGTATAACTGTATCCTCGGTGTCTAAAGCTATAGAATGCGTGCACGAGAAATGCACTCCGGCAGTTTATTTTTAAACATACTCACCGTAGATTTTGTACATATGTCAGAATAATATCAGTATAAAGTGTTTAATTATCATTGTAAAATGTTTATGTACATGCTACTGTGTACGTATCACTGTATTCTCAGTGTCTAAACTAATGTGCACTAAAATGCACCAGTGCATTTTTAGTGCTTCTCAGTCTAGAATTTGTGTGCGTTCCAACATAAAATCAAATGTTTAAATATTGATGTAAATGCTTATGCATACAAAACAATGTACGCAATAGCGTCAAATATACTTTTATGTATAAGTGTATCCTCAGTCTCTAAACCTATGTGCCGATAAAATACGCCGATAAATAGTAGTATATGTTTAAATACGCGCACTAGTGCAGAACTTTTGTGTGTATCAATAGTAACTTCAGTATAAAACGTTTAAATGTCATTGTAAAAATCTATGTAATGTGATTATGTCTGTGCAAAGACGCATGTATCAGTGTAAATTAGATGTACGGCATTAGTGCATTTTCAGTGTCTAAACGCATGTGCACATAGAATGCACCAAAGCAAATTATGTTTGTTAATGCGCAAATGTCAGGAATTTATGTCTCAAAGCAAAATGAGTACTAAATGTCTAAATATCAGTGTAAAATGTTTAAATATGACTGAAAAATTCTCAAATATCAGTATACAGCAGGGGTTCTCAACCGGTGGTACGCAAGAGAAAAATAAGTGGCATGCAAAGAAGCAAAATAGTCTTAACTATTAAATTCAAAAATTAAACTGCAATATCCTGATTGAGGTTTTTCTCTATTACTCGTAAATTTATGCGATCTGAGCTTTGTTCAAGAGTGGTGGTGGTAGTAGTACTTTGTAGTGGTGGTACTAAAGGTTTTCAATTTTTGTTTAGATGGTACGCGTTTGTCAAAAGGTTGAGAACCGCTGGTATACAGTATCCGTACAATAGAATTTTCAATGTAACAGCATTATCAGTGAACAGCATTATCAGTGTAACAGCATTGTCAGTGTACAATATCAGTATAATAGCATCTTTTATCTTCTATGAAACTGCTGTCTTATACTTTGTCCCTGTATGACTGTATACACTTAAAACTTCCTATTAAACTCCCGATACCACGTTCCTGGGGCGCCATGGAGGTTTTGCGTTGTACAGTTGCGGGACTTTTCGGGTGATACCCGAAGAGTCCTTATAAGCCACCCACGTATACGGATCCTCTGACACTAAAAATCAGTCACATAATAATATATCCACCTTTCAAAGAAAGTGCAGCAAAAGGTGCAGATTGCAGCTGCAGACTTTATCTACAATAGGTAATCCAGGCACAGTTGCGAAAGAGATTTCACTTCAAGAAAAATAACTAATCGTTAAGTGACAGAAAAAAAAAGTATAAAATTTTATTATTGCTTATTTATCATGCTTTTATAATTATCGTATTATTTACTTCTAATTATGACAGTAATTCGTATCGCAAAAATAAAGTAAAGTTAGAGGAAAATTAAAGTTAAAAAATTCGCTCTATGTTTCCTTAATCAATGATATAATCAGTATCTATCAATTCAAAGTAAAAACAATCAGCTTGCTTAATATTCCGTTTAAATGCAAGCAATTTACTATCAGTGCTCCATCTCTCCAATAAACTGAAATTTGAAACGAAATCAAATTTTATGCAATTCCAAAGGAATAGCAATCCACGTGAATGAGGATAAAAACGAATTATAACTTAAACATTACGCAAATACAGACAAATCCTTCCTTAAAACGTGACTATATATTTCAAATACAAAATGTAACTCTGACTTTGCATAAACAACCACAAAATCTTCTTTTAAACGGAATAACAAAATGCTGCATACAGTTTCACTGACGTCAAAGTTTTTCGTTAATTTCCTCCGCTGATCGCATCTGAGAAATGTTCCACCTCGAAAGACGTAATAAAATTGCTCAATTTACCAGTGTTTGGCTAGAAGCATTGCATTGCCTGCGAAGCCTAGAAGACAATGCTGCAATTTTTTCAATGGCTTCGCAGAGCAGCGTGAAAATATCCTGCAAATTTCTGGTCTTATGGCGAAGATCTTCCTGTTTTTCGTACCTCATAGTTGGAAGTTTAGCATTGTTAATGAATACTGTCTGAAATAAATTGCAGGACATCATTTGATTTTCTAACCCCTTATTTTAAGCACCTTTTCTTTCAATTCCGATTTCACTTCGCTGCCAAAATGCAAATTCTCAGCACGCGCGATATTCAAATTAGGTAGAAGGAAGTATTTAAAGGAGGGGTTTCGGAAGGGGAAATTAGAGCGTGGTCTGCCTGCTTGAAGGCCTACACGTTGCGAGCTTTGATTCTCTAGCGGCCAGAATTCTGCCTCGTTGTGTTATTCTTGCCATTAAGCTTGTTTACGCCGACTTCGAGTAAGAGCCAGCTTTGATAGTTGTTAAGCTATTGTTAAGCTATTGTTAAGCTGTTGTTAGATTATATTTAACTTCATCAATTTTTAAGTTATTCATCACCTTTTTATTTAATGTTAGCTTTTGTAAGCACAAGTTGGAGCCGAGTTGGCATTAAGCGTTGAGTTAAAAATGGGTTATCTACATCCTTCTCCGGACTTTATAATATACTTTAAAAGATTTGGTGATAGCTCACCAAACAGTCTTCAACGTCACGTACATTTTATGATGAATAGCATGCAAAATGTCACAAAATATACTGATTCAGAATCTTCGCTAGATTTCCTGTAAATTTCCTTTGATTTATATTTCCACAGAGAGTGGCAAGTTTTGATAATTCCGAAGATTTCAGCCGACGATTTTTTTTCTTGGTGTGCCATTTTAAAATGTCCAAGAAATATATTTATATTATTGCATACTTTAAAAATCAGTCATCTAGTTATATACCAGTACTCGATTTATATACATAAAATCTGGAAACACAAATTACAATTATTATAAAATAGAAAAGCGCACATTTAAAATAACACAAATTTTTTTAAAAATGCACTTTAACAAAATAATTCATTTCAAATATAAATAGGTGCACACAAAATATGATGAGGCATTTTTACTAATTTTACAGAATTAGTAATATTTGTTTCCGTTGTTAGCGCATTTATCTCTGATTTTTGAATTACTGTCTGTGTTTTAATCATACCCTTCTAAAGATTTTTTTTTCTTATTCTAGGTGTTGTAAACAGCTTCCTATCTTGGAAGTTTTTTGTTCCTTTAGAACGCCTGTGTTACATGGCTTACTTGTTACATGTTCCACTGATGTATTACCAAGGCGGAATTCAGAGAGAACGTGTGTATATGGGTCATTATAATCAAGTAAGTTAAACTTTTTTGTAGCAATATTTGAAGTATATAGGCTATCTATGACTTACAGAACTCTCTTGTATCGCTGCGAAGGACCAAAATTCTGCCTGTTTAAAACTGCTGAAGATTCTGCGGTCTTTAAAATAAACGCGTATTTCTCCGTTTCAGAAAATATTAAATATACTAAATTTTTACCAAGCACGTACTTGCGGAAGGCGAATTTCCGCATATGTATTATTTTAACTGTCTCCAATTAACTTGTAGAAGGCGAGAATTTCAATTATACGCAATACGCTGCAGAGCGTCGGTCGCTTTGGGATAGTCCTCTTCTAATGACTGGTTTGAAAATTTCTTTATTAAAAAAGTCAAATATTGCTTACAACAGTAAACTTTAAATTTATTCTATATTTCTCGATATGCTCAAGGACATGATACTGAAACCCTTACAACATTGCATCCAAATGTAGCGGTTTTATATCCAAATGTAGCGGTTTAACGCCACTTCTTTAACCCAACCAATGGATCAAGAAATCATGAAAACATTCAATGTTTATTATTACAGGTATGCTTATATCACCCAAAATAAAGCATTAGAGGAAGAAACCCACGGGACACTAATGGCATTTTGAAATCAATTCAAAATAAGTTACTGCATAGAAATGATTAAACTCGCATTGAAAGAAATGAATTCCTCAACAAGCACTTTTACTGGCATCAATGCTAGGCAGAAGTTATCAACAATGACTTTTACTGGCATCAACGCTAGGCAGAAATTATCAAAAATTACTTTTACTGGCATCAACGCTAGGCAGAGATTATTAACAATGACTTTTACAAGCATCAACGCTAAGTAGAAGTTATCAACAATCACTTATACTGGCATCAACGCTAGGCAGAAGTTACCAACAATGATTTTACAGGCATCAACGCTAAGCAGAAGTTATCAACAATATTAAAGGATTTTTATGGATTAAAACTGAAGCCAAAGAAGTAACGCGGTAATTGCAAAAGCAACAGGCGGCAAAGGATTTACTGATACGGAAGAGGAGGAAATTAAAGAATTAGTCTAGCATGACGATGTTGAAATGTTAAATGAAACATTAACACCAGCGACCGTGAAAGCAGAGGTAGTGAAGAAGATCAACATATTTTAATATAAAAGAAGTTAAACGAATTGTTAAAAAAAGGCACATGAACTGCCTGAATTTACAATAGATACTGAAACAAATGAAGAAAGAAGAAGGCATTTTGCGAGAAGTATTAAAAACCTTCGCTCTCTTTACGCTTCACGAGTTGCGTAAGACAAAAATTACCAGGCATTAAAAAATAATTATATCATGTACCTACTCATTAAGCTGAAATATAAATCCTTTTAATAATCATTTATTTCAGTTTCCTTTTATAGTTACAATAAACATAGGTTTGTACAAATTATACATACTTTCTTAATCTGCACCCTTTTTTCCATAAAAAGTTAACTTCTGAATACGCGATTTTGCCCTTTGCGTAATGTGTTTATGACGTAACCGCTGTATTCAGCAGGAGTTTATTGTATTTACACAAAATAATAACATCTTACGCTTTTTAATAACTTGAAACTAAAATCAGAAAAAAATTAAGTGTTCAATGGTCTTATCTAATTGCTAACTGATAGGCAATAGGAAGTACAACATAAAATACATTTTAAAAAAATGCACGTAATGTATGAGTAAAGTCAAATATAATTGCCGTATTTGCCGGCATATAAGACGCATCCCCTTTTTGATACACATTTTTGAAGGATAAAACTTTATTACTGAACATTATAATTAATTTACAGTATTTCAAACACAAAGTAATACTTTCTGCAAATACCCAATCTATCTGAGAAAGAACACCTTTTAATATTCTTTGTCAAACCCCAGACTCTCATCTCCAGAGCTGAATAAAAAGCACTTGAAACCTCTTCTAAATCAGCATCCGAGTCCTCATACAACAAATTGTCTTCTGTACCATCCAGTGTTTCCATGCTCTTTAGCATACGCAATCATACGTAGCTTGTATGCTATGTTATAGAAATGCCGACGTTGTGCTTTAGCCATAACTTGCCAAGAAATTTAAGAAAGTTGAACAGTAGAAATTTCACACACTTGAAAATCGTTCACAAAAATTGGAAAGTTTAAACGAACCCAGCTGTGATCGTCGATGACAGCGCATGCGCATTCACTATATAAACTCTGCCTAACTGTAATATTCCCACACTCCGCAAGGAATCAAGAAAACAATCGCATAACTTCGAATAGAGGAAATTTCCAGAAATTAAATATCGACGTATAATACGCCCTCCGTTTTTCAGACCTATTTTCAAAGGAAAAATGTGCGTCTTATACGCCGGAAAATACGGAATCCTGTCGTGTTCTTACCCGGCCTTTATTTTTATGACGATAGACACGTACTTCCATTTATGAAAACATTTTAAACGATACAAATGTTTACATTTTGGCATCTTTAAATGTAAGGAAATCAGTTCAGTAAAAATTACGAAATCTAACATTTTATATGTTCCTTCGCAAAGATTTATATGAGAAAAAAATTAATATCCGTTATACAAAAAATAAAACGTAAAATGCGTGACTAAAACACTAACTGACCAAGGTATTTCATATTAAAATTGGAAATCATTCTCTATACAAATTGAAGAGCGAAATGTTTGCATTTGTACGTAGATGAAAGTATATCGTTTAGCGAAATGTTTGTCATTTTGAGCGATTAAATGGCGAGTAGTTCTATGTACACTATTGTGAAAAATATTGATCAAAATAATTTTTTATTCACAGTTTATATCTTACTCACAGTTATAGAATTCAAGTTGTAGAAGATACTGTTCAGGCTTCAGTTATCGCTCGTAGTCAATTCTTAATAACATTTGCATTGATTAAAAATTAAAAAGTATTTTTCCTTTAAGGAATTTTTTACGATTATCATATTATGATTCCAAATTAATAAAACTTTAAAAGAATATTAATACCATGCTTTTAGATTTCAAAAACTTACAAATTATTTGTGTAAAAATACTTTCGGGGAACCAAGTGTAATAAAATTATAAATTAAAGACACTAGTAAATCACGAAAGAAAATCGTTGAATGGCATTTTAGGGGTAAAACATCAATCTCGAATTATTCTAATTTATTTATTAGCCGACTTTTCAATGCATATTGACGTCAAAAATTGAAAATTTTGAAATTAAAGTTCTCGGTCAATTTTTGTCATACGGAAATCAAACGTTTTGTGTTTAATCTGCTTATAAAGAGTACGAATCTTTCCTAAATATCAGTATATAGACCAAAATAACATGCAAGGAGTTAAATTTCTTAATTTTTACATTAGTTCCTTTATATTTAAAAATGCCACAGCATAAGTATTTGCATCATTTAAACAATTTTATGCCGCCCAGACGGTACAATGAACAGGGGACCCTACTGCGATACGGAAAGGCCCGGGTTCGAATCCCGGAGAAAGCATGAATGTTTGTAAATGTATAGTACCTTTGCGGCATGGGGCACTGTAAATATATAGCGAGGCGAAAGTCCTCTCTTGTGGTTTGTGGTAGAGGAAAAGGCTGGGAGACCTTCGGATCTCCCCCGGAGCGCTGTACGTCAAAGCTGGGGTAAAGTCCAATCTCCTTGAGGGTTTGGCATACAACAACAAAATGTTTTTATAAATATAAATATGTATGTCGACGATCAACAGTTGCAAATATGAAGGCCGGGTAACGACGTTCGTGTACACATTCCATACATTTATTTCCTTAACAACACTGGTCTAGGAATACGCATCTATGGTTTATAAAATTATATTTTTAAACGCATTTCGAAATTTTCTTGTTTTTTTTAATTTTTATTTTTTAAAACTTTTTATTTAATTTTCAAAATAAAATTTTCACAGTGAGTAATTTTGAAGTTCACTGACATTCAGGTTTATTAATTCTTCAGTTTTAAATATCTATCGGCTTTACTTTAAAAACGTGTTTTTCGTGCTGAGAGTATTTAATGGTTGAAGAAACATTTTATTGTTTTGTGATTTTAAAAAATACACGCCCAGTATCCGGAACCCTGATCTATTAAGGAGTGTGACAACAGGAAGAGTTCTAAACTTTCTTGCCTTGTAAAATTTAAACAAAGTTAAACTTTCTTGCCTTGTAAAATTTGAACAAAGTTCTTTAATTTCCTTTAGGTTGAGAAACAAAAGTTAAACAGTCAGTCTTCAGATTGCAATCTAGCTTCTCATAAATAAGTTTTTACCATTAAATATTTAAAAAATATATGTAAAAGCAATAAAAGTGTCAAACAATGTAATTATTTTTTAAAAAATAATAAATAGGGTTAATATGTTACATGCGAAGTTAAAATAATGTTGCAAAGACCATAAACAAATAATTGCAATAAGTAACTTTAAACAAATCAAATAATAAATCAATAAATTAGCGCACAAATTTACAAATTTAAAACAAATAGCACCATGGTATTATATTATTTACATTATACACACTATGTACTATGACCACAGTAAGGAGTTAGCCTGTCGTAATGAACAACTTTAGGCTTAGAAATCGATGACTTACGGATTCGAATTACGACGTCATTCAGCCTGTTTAGGACTATGTAAGGACCATCCCAAGGTGACTGTAGTTTAGGACAGCGTCCTTTCCGTTGAATCGGATTCCACGAACACACCTTGCCTCCTTCGGTGAATCGATGTCCTGTAGCTCCCGTGTCGTATCGGGTTTTCATCTTCGTCGACAAGCTGATTCGCTTTCGTGCAAAATTGTGCATCACTTCAAACCCGGCCTGGAGATGTTGAATGTATTCCTCAGGCGATGGAGGTGCAACCGGAGGGCGACCAAACAAGAGATCGCAAGGCAGACGAAGGTCGAGACAGAAGAGCACCTGGGATGGCGAATGACCGGTAGTCTCATGGATTACACTGCTATAAGCCAGTAAAAATAGAGGTAACTTCTTATCCCAGTCCTGTT